ATGTACGGCTGCACACCCGGAGGTCCTGGGCTCGAATCCCGGGTCGGGCCAAGTTTAGTTATTGAGTCTTTCTGTATAGTAAGACTCAGCAACAGCCCGGAGTTGGAAAGTTGGCGGTGTTTCACCCCCATACCTCGGAGAGCACGTAAAGCCGTCGGTCCTGCGCCTTAACTCTCACTGGTCGTGTCGAGTGGTCGTCCCACCATAGTATGAGAGTGACAGGAATAGAGAGTGCACTTGTGTCTACGCGTACACGCGCTGCACTATATCTCCTGCGCAGTTGGCAAGTCTCAATGAGATAGGCCGCCGTGGCCGGAATCGGTCAGGAGAACATCATCATTATAAATGCGAATTTTTATGTATGTAACTAGAAGAAAAAAGAATAAATAGACGTTGCAGGCGGCCTGGCCTTATCGAAGCGATCTCTTGCAGGTAAACTTAGGGCATAAGAGTGATTATGTACTTGCTATACATAAATATATGTATATCCATATTTAATATTATAAACGTGAAAGTCTGTTTGTTTGTCCTTCATTCACGGATTGGCGTAATTTTTTGTTATATAGGCTACTTTTTACTGCGGGAGATTATCTGACATATACCCACGAGAAAACTCGTTATAATACGACACAAAAAATAATTATGATCAGAATTACTTGAAACTTAGTATTAATGCTCTTCAATACAATTAAATAAACACGTGTTTTAGAATTTTTCGAAATTCATACCATAGATGAAAGATGAATCATAGATTATAGTTTTAGGGTGAGTGAAGCCGCGGGTTCTGCTAGTCCTAAAAAACGCTTAAAAATAGATATGACAGATAAATACATAAAGGTAGATCTGATAAAAAAAGGTATCCATACTCATATTATAAATGTGAAAGTGTGTTTGTTTGGTTTTTTTCACGTGGAAATGGAGAGACGTATTGACGTAATTTTTTGTGTGGAGATAGTTGGAGGGCTGGAGAGTGACATAGGCTACTTTTTACCGCGGAAGATTATCTAATTCTGTATGGTTAAAAATTTATAATTCACATTTACCAAATGGCTATTAATACTATAAGTAGTTTCATCAATAAAGGTACCATGAAATTGATCCCATGAAGGAGCTGGAATATTTCAGCAGACCGTATGATGCTATGTTCATACTCTACATAGCGTAGTCTTTTGTATGAACTTATTGGATTAATCTTGTTGAACTGTATATACTTAGGTAGTAAAAACTCTCAGGTAAAAAAATTGTAGGTTCAAAAGCTTCTTCTATAGACTTCTATGTACTAAGTATATACTTCTGATCATAACAATTATCATTAAAAATATTTCGTATAAGATTATAAGTGCGCCTTTGTAAAAAAAACCAATGACACAACTTTATGTTTGCTATTAAAAATGACCAGGAGTAAACCAGATGTACTAGAAATAAATAGGCGAAAAAAAAACAGTGCAATACCATTTTCTCCTCTGCTTGTAAAACAATTTTCTGTTTTTTTTTTTGTTTACTAGCTATTGACAAGATTTAGAGTAAACAAAAAAATTGTAAGAAGTTAGTTTTTTTTTATATATAAATAGTTACACTCTATTCATATATTAAGAAGTAGGTAATTAAATTTTCAATAGCGATAATAATCCAATTTATGGGCGAATACTAGTGAAGATAAAATAACATTTTAAAAATAAACAACATGACCTTCAGACTTCATGGCATATACAACATACATACACGTATATAGGTCTTACCTGTTGTACAGAAAATATTGAGTTTACTTTCGGCTTGAAATAAATGTTTTTAATATTAATGTTGTAAATAAAAATGTATTTTAAGATATTTAGACGTTTGAAGATTTCGTTGTTTGTTATTCAATCACCAGTAAACATTTTACGTTGGGATGAAACTTAGCACATAGATAAACCATATTCTGGAGACGCACATTTACACTTGTAATACGATAATGCGCTCTCTTGCTATATGTATAATGTACTCGTATATAATATAAAAAAGTCGGGTTTGTTCCAAGTTTCAACACTTATAACTCGAGAACTGCTGGACCAATTTTTATGATCTTTATTTTGTTTCATTTGTCCTCGTCCCGAATAGCAGAATATAGCATCGGAAAAAATCACGAAAACAAATTAAAAAAAAAAACTATTCTGACGACGAAAAGAGACGAACCTGAGCGAAGCAAGGGTGAGTCGCTAGTAAGTGCGTATTTTAATATTAAAACAACATTTTGTTCTACTTTGCCAATAGATGGCGCTGTTTACGGAAAGAAAGAAAATATTATGTCGTGCAGGCGATGGCAGGGACAGAAAGTAGTCCGTCGTTTTTCCATTAGTATGCCATGGTGTGGTTCATAATAAATCAATCAAGACATTTGGTACTTTGATCTAGCTCATGTTTTTTAAGTAAAATACATGATCAGAATATTATACTTCTTTTTGTGTACTTCAGAAAAGAATAACATGAAGATCTTTAAGAAAAAATACAGCTAATTACTCTCTTTCCTACCTTAATAAACTGAAAAGAAATAAATATATTATTTGCTCAATAATGCATGCTTGTTACAGGAAAGCTAATATTTTTCTATAGCTTGTTTAAAATCAATTTTTCTTTCGCATGCCATATCAAACAGAATTTTTTATTATAATCATACGATACCAAATAGAATTTTTAAATATAATCAACTTGGTATTACGTGCATGGCTCGGCTTATAATTATATGACTGCTTTAATAAATACATATTAAAAATTATGGCGATATCCTCACTTCGTTTATAGATAAATGAAATAATATGTTCCTTTTCCGCTGAGGGCTATATAAATATATCTGTATAAATATTATATAAGTGTAAAAGTTTGTGAGTATGTATGGATGTTTGTTACTTAATCACGCCAAAACGGCTGAATGGATCTGGATGAAATTTGGCACAGAGATAGATTATAATCTGGAATAGCACGTAAGCTTCGTTTGTTTTTGTCTTCCTAGAGGTGAACCCGAGCGAAGCGAATGTGAGCCGCTAACCATACATATTTTTAAGTATAATTTTATTAAATCCCTGTAGCTTCTCAAAACCATATACTATATATCATCCAAAGCCATGAATAGTCCATTTATCACTCACTAGGTATATAACATAAAACTATCCATTATCCATATACGTATGTAGGTGTATAAGGTGGATGGACCATGAAAGGCCACGCTCTTTGTAAGGCCGATTATTAAAAAGTCGTAGTTATTGCCAAGCGATGACAAATTCCTTCTACTCAGACTAGCACCCATAGAACTCTAGCATTCAGGCGCAGCGGCGAGTCGCTGGCGCTGCTGGTTTGTCAATGCGGTCCCTCGCTTTATTGACTTCTTTCGTCGACGTTAAAATTATAAACGCGCTCACAGGAAAACGTTAGTTCTCAAGTGAACTATTATTTTTTTTATTATTTGTTTTGATCTGAATTGATATACATATAAGGGTTTGCTATTGTACTAAAGAAAAATTATATGATTTTATTTCAATTTTAGTTAAAATATCGGTAGTGGTCCTAGGAAAGCCATTGGTTCCTTGTAAGGCCGAAAAAAGATCTTCAAAAAATTGAGAGTTGGCCTTGCTAGGACACAAGGACCTTGCTAGGAACATTTAGGAATCACGAAAATGTAAATACTTAGTTTTTAGTTGTAAATACGTGTCGGGTAAAGTAAAACAATATATAAAATCATAATATTATTTGCTTAAATCATGCGTTACATAATTTTATTTTATAACTCCTTTTGGACTTACAAGGAACGGACCCATAAGAAGGCCATTACAGTGTGGGTTATTTTTTTTATAAAATTTTTTTATAAATTTTATTATAAAGATTATTGGTAACTTATTTGATATCGATATATTTGCTTATGAAAATTATTTTTACAACATTTTCACAAATACCTACATTCTTAGTTTTACGATAGATGTGTTCAAGTAATGTTCGTTGACTATTTTTTATGTGAATAGGTATATTATGATATTTAATGTTTCGTTTTAACGATTGATTTATTATATCAGCCTTGTATGGAGCCCTGTTTTTTGCAAGGCCATATTGGAAGAGTTTAATAAAACTTAAATTTATAAATATTAAGTAATCATTAACTCTGCAATAAAAACATATTTTATAAGTTACATATATAATAGAACAAAGTATTACTTAATAAATTGTTTCTTTCATTTATCCAAGGAATAAAAAAATCATAACTGTTTATTTGTGAAGGTGGCCTTCCATGGTCCACCCACTTTAGTTATAATATAATAATATGTGAAATCTTGCGGTAAAGTGCTAGTATCATATTCGAATGGATCATCGAGCACTCCAAATAAAGATAAAATGACTCCACAGCAAGTAAGACGTCCGCATGAGCATTTCAACGATTACTCATAGCCATATTTGCTTATATCAATAACAAAGTATTTTGAATCATATTGTTATAATGATAAAGTATATAATTAATTACAATCTTAGTAAAATCTCAAACAGATGGTGTCAAACTCGCCCCCGCCCTCGTCGTCCCGCTTATATAAAGAAAAAAACTCTGTTGATCTGTTTATTACTTTTGATTTTCTTTTAAAATTTAATTTAATTACAGTTTGTTTACAATATTCTTGAACGATCATATTTTTCTTCTTTCTTACTTAATATGTAATAACCAATCATCATAATATAATACCGAATATATAACAATATCAAATTATTTTAAACTATATAATATAATAGCATGTTTAAAAGAAATATAGGAACAAAGCTATAAAACAGGCCAGTTAAAAATCATGCGCCCGCGCATCAACCTCTGTAAGAACGTATCAATGTACGTCACATCCACTGTTGACTGTAAACTATAACACACTCATTATTCCGGCATTTGGCAAGCGATGGATGACTAACAATATATTTATATTATAATTGCGTGGAGAATATTTCGATTCCATTTAGTTGTGCTTCGAATCCAGTTTTGAACGGTTGTTTTAGTCAAAATGCGGAATTCAATACGAAATCAGGTAACTTCTTTTATTATTTTTAAATATTTTTTGACATTCTACTATATGTATTTTAATACAAATAATATTTTATCAGTGTGTGTTTAAAATTGGTCTATAATATAAGTTTAAAATCCAAACTGTTAACCATTTAAATGTGTTTTCAATTAACTATAAGTAAACTTGTTTATTGGAAATTTCCCAAACCTTCGTTATTTAATAATCATGTTATTGTATGAATTTCTTTAAGCCGTACGCGAAATTATTGTGTAGTCCAGGGACCAGGACTCTTAAGCTGTGCGTGCGCATTATGCTATGATGAATTCGTTTTATGTCTAAAAAGATTTTGGAATTTGTACTATTTCGTAATTGAAATATATTTTTATTTGACCCCTTGTATGAATATGAAGGTTCAAAATTATAACTAGCAAGCGACAGAAAAGTAGTGATAGCGGTATTATTATTTTATGGGTATAAGCCATTTTTTTATTCATATATGAGGCCACACTTGTTTGTAGGTATTCATAAAAAAAATTAAATGGCAATAACTTTTTTGAAGTCTGTTAAAAAGTAAGAAGCATGACATTATTATCGTTAATTTTAGTTGAAAACTAGCATTGCCCGCGACTCCGCCCGCGTTCAGATGACCAGAAACCAAATTCTTAGGTTTTACATTTTAGTATACATAATAGTATAGTATTTTTCTTAGAAATGAGACATTTTCCCGCGGTAAAAAGTATCCTATATGTTGACCCGGATAACCAGCTATCACCATAACAAATTTCATCAAAATCCCTCCACTGGTTTTCCTGTGATGCTGTAACAGACATACAGACAGACAAAAATTCTAAAAATTAAAGTTTCGGCCTCTGTATCGATAATAATGTTTATTGCAATAAGATTTTCCAAAAAATATTTAATGTACAGATTCGGCTTGGTTACAATTTTATTATATGTATAGATATCAAAAGTAAAGTAGTTATTACGTATACGAATATTGATAATGAAATCTGACGCAATGTTTAAATCTGTCCGTAGGGTCAGAGATCAACACTTTTAACAACATTTAACATTCTTATCATTCTCACATTAATTCCTTTTCAAATAAATTATCATAAATGATAGGGGTTTCTAAACCTATTGTTCATATGAAAAGATTTATAATAGGTTATTTAAAATTGTAATGTTAACGTTATTGCTCTAGCGAAATAAATAAAAAAAAATATTTACTCAGTTCGAGCTTACTTATAGTGTTTTGTGTTCTTGAGGTGCACACATGTAACTTTTTATTTGACCTGTAGTCTATACTAATAACAAACTTCAAATAAATAAAAGAAACGACACAAACTAGATACAAATATCGCGATGTCATGCCATTTAATTATTGTATAGGTTTCTTAATACTTATTGAAAATAAGTATTAACTATAATACAATAAATAATCAACAATGTTAATAAAAATTACGCCTCTATTACAATATTAATGTCCTGATCGATTTCAGTCATGTCAGCCAATCTTCATTTTTATACTAAGACACTATGCAGGGTACACTCGGTGTATACACCGAGTGTCTCTGTGTGAACACGAGTGTCTCTAATTTCGCAATTGGGACACTCGCGTTCACACAGAGACACTCGGTGTATACACTGAGTATAGTGTTAGCCTAAGCCGGCAAAGTCTAGCCATCTGTCCATAGATATTATAGTGCACAACTGTACGCACAGACACAAGTGCACTTTCTATTTCTTTCACTCTCAAAGTCTGGTAGGAAAGAGCGAGATTCAGCCACACGACCGACGGCTAAACGTTCTTGACAGAAAAAACCCAGTAACTGCATTTGACCCAACCTCGGATTCTGTATGGATTGATATATTAATTATTTTATGAAATTTATTAAATTATTTATTAAATATTAGACTAGATAATATTGTGTAAATGTGAGTGCCTCGTTCCACGGTGATATTTAAATGAAAGGAACTAAACGACTGAATTACTATATACTCGCAAACTAAAATAATGGGATAGACAGTGTGCGCAGAAGACAATGGTTGCAGCCTGAAATAGTACTATATTTTAGTTTTTTATGATACCATTGCCCCCACAGCGCCCTTGTATTCAGGCCTGATGATCTAGAGCGTAGATTATTATGAATTTAGAAGCAGCACAAATAAGAATTATTGATGTATTGCATTGTATTAAAAAAAGCTGTTCTATATATACAAAAATGAATCACCGAAATATGTACGCGCGTAACTTCGGATCGACTGCACCAAATTGGATAAATTCTCTCTCTAATATTATCAGGTCAAGCTTTGTATAGAAGACAATGAAAAGAAATACTAAAATAAGTTTTTTTTAATCTCATGATATGAAAAGTGAGTGAATGAAATAGTTTTTATCCCGGATATCATGCTTCAAGGGGGTGAAAATGGGGATGAAAGTTTGTATGGGGAAGCCAGCTAGGGAAGAACCCGAGCGAAGCGAGAGTGAGTCGCTAGTGAGCAAATAATATTATTAAGATTCAAGATTGACATAATATTATCTTTCGGACATGAATAGTTTCGTTAGGCTTCATTTATTGTATTAGACAATCCGTCTAAATTTTTTCTTTTAATCTGAGATTACTAAATTTTTCAATCTCATAGAAAAAAGAATATATTTAAATTAATCATAATAAAATAACGGTTCTGCTAAAAATAATAAAATAAACACCCATTTTTCCGTGAAAATGTGGTGTGATATGCTTCCTAATAAGATAAATAGTTATGCGTTTGTTGCTTTATCTTTCTTTCGTCCAAATTTATTTTTGTACAAACATGTTATGTATATGTTTATGGGTCGAATGTATTTAGTTTTCATCCCGTTAAATGAAACAATTATTAGTGTTGTAAAATGTTTATGTCAATCATCCTCGTCACTTCAAAACGAATTATTCCTTACTTGGCTTAGATTTATTTTTTCAAGGCGCATAGTGCGAGTACTCTTGTCATAGGAATAACCTATAAAACAAAAAAAATATGAAAAAATATATATTAATCAGTTCCTAAACAGCGTATGTTTACATACATGCATTAGAGAAGTCAATTTGAAATCAATCCATACAAAAACAAAAAAAAATGTTAATAAATTCAACGTGACATTTAAAATCTCCAAAATAATAACCCATAAAACGTTTAAAAGATTTCGGTGTCACTGACCCGAACTGACGACGGCTGGACCATTTTTCGAAACTTACAAAAAATGAAAACTTTAACGGTAACTTAAAATAAACTCTTATTCAGGCGAATATTCTCCAAGCACACGTCATTATATTAAAGTTATCTTTCTGGAACATGTATATTTTAAAAGCTTAGGTGCTGTGTCATGTTGTCACGTTTATATTGACGTAATTTGGCTACCTTGCTTTGGCATTGCAGAGCTTGTTTTAATGATAAAAAAATACTTACTATCATCAGCAGGCCTATCTTTTTGAGATGTATTATTCGTTGTTATTATTATTATTATAAGCCTGTAATCTCCCACTGCAGGGCAAAGACCTCCCTACTCTTTCTCCACTGCTCCCTATCGTTCGCCAAAATAAGCCTTTGGAAGTAGGAAGTAGTCTAGCTTATCACTACGGTTCTATGATGTGCTCAATTTGGTCTTGGACATATTGTAATCTGACTTCGAGGCTTGTCCTGTTAAGATCAGTTAACATCTGAGTCAACTCGGAGGCGATGGATGCGAATAAAACAATGTCATCGGCAAAACAAAGGCTTGTTAACCTCTTTTCACCAATAGCAACACCTCTTTCTGCCCATCTAGCTATCAATTTTTTAAAAATTGACTGTAATATAGCATTAAATAGTTTGGGAGATAATGGGTCTCCTTGTTTTACTCCCTTATTTATAGAAAAGGATGGTCCTGTATGGGCATTAACTTTAATTCCTGCTATTCTATTTTCATAGATGTTTTTTAAGAGGCCAATATATGTACGTAGCTGTAATGCCCTGGGCTTGTATTGCGCTAAATATGGATAATCAATATATGGCTGATATTATCAAAAGCTTTGGAATATTCGACGAAACAAATAAAGTGGCAGCTGGAACTTAATATGTTTTTCAATGATTTGGCTGATAGAGTGTAAATGATCGGTGGTAGATAGCCCATGTCGGAAGCCGGCTTGTTATGGCGACTTTTGTTTGTCAGAGATGTTGTTGTGATATCGGGCTGATAGGACGATGAATATTATTTAACTGTTTATATTAATAGGCTCCGCTCTTGTACAATGTGAAGAACATATTATGTACATACAAATATGCATATATACACTCATACATATGCTTAAATTACACTGTATCGGTTGTAACTTAAATTATTTAATACTAATCGTATTCCATCTATCGTGCATTTATGTCAGCATTATTTAAAAATGCGCTAGCAACAATTCGCCAAAGTCTCATAGTACTAAGAGAACCGATGAGCACATATTTATTTGTATATATTATCTGCTGGATTATCCACAGATATGCTCCAACATTGCAAATATTTGTTTCACTTAAACATGTCACTACGTCAAGAGACACAATGTTAAAATTAATAGAATTTCAAAATAGTTCGCTAAGGTACTAATTCTGATAGCATTAGAAGCGTTCTTGCGAGATAACAAGCCAAGCGACAAATATCGACAGTCGACAGATCATAATATTAATAGCCATGCCAATAATAAAGTTCCATTTCCAACGAAATAATATTGCAAATTGAATACAGTTCAAATTTGCGGTGCTAATATACTGTTGCAATATTCTAAGCCGGACTTCAAATATAAATGTATATGTGTATGCTACTCCTGCATGTTGAAACGGCTGGACGGGTTTGGATGAAATTGAATATACAGATAGACGGTAACCTGAAATAGTACGGTAACTTCCTCGGTGGTGTACTAGCTAGCATATACGACTGCACGCCCGGAGGTCTTGGTTTCGAGTCCCGGGTCGGGCCAATATTAGTTATTTATACTTTCTGTATATTAAGCCTCAGT